TGAGAAGTGGTGACGCAAAACATCCAAATTTAGCAAAGGCCAACTCGCTCGAAGCTGCACCGTATTTAATCCATGCGTTGCACTCAAATGATCTTCATGCGCCCAGCGCCGGCGCCAAAATTGAAAATTGTTATAGGCTTCAGCCGACATACCTCACAGAAATTGGAGGGCTCCATCTTCTTGGCCCGACTCGCGCAAAGTCGCGATTTTGGCATATCTGTTTGGTATCCTCTGATTTGAAATAATTTGGTGTGAATGGTGTTCCCGACATCCTAATATGTATTTGTTAGTAGACATTTTTCGTTTCTATCCCACTGTCCCGTAAAAATATGGGAATTTAATGAAATCCCGTGGTGTACGATTAGCATCGTCTGTATTCTGTGAAAAGACCTATTGTGAAGATGGCATTGCTGCCGTGTCGCTCCCTGCAAATCATATTTTCTGCCACTGAATCGGGTGTCATTTTACCGGATAGATTTCCAGCGTCCACGTCACATTCAGTTCGTGATTTAGCGTTATCAAATAATCCATTCATTCGGGTTGTTTATTCAACCCCAGCAGCGCTAGCGTCAGTGCGTCACCCCATATGAATTTACGCACCGTTGTAAATGTCATTGATCCCGATTCGTCGCGGAACTACAGAGTATCTACTTAAAACGTCATGACGTCTATCGTAGCAGCTTGACAGCTATCACGATAACCAAATTGCTGAACTTTAATATCCACTGTCGGGTACCCTGAACACGTCATCAAACGTCTCTAATCCATACCATGCCGGATAATGGTGATCGTTTTATAAAAAGCTTCCGCGCGAAGGTTTGTCCCTTCATATATCACAGTGCGTGATCTCGTCAACTGATGTTTGATGGATTGCTCCTTCCCCCTGTTGCTCTTCAGCATCAAAGAACTATTTGTGGCAGCTGGTCGGTCGGCCGGGGCGTCCCTGGCCCCTGCCATCCGGCGGTCGTCTCGGCTGGTCTCGGGTGAAATCCCAGTCTCTGAGCGACGCGGGCTCGTGTGAGACACATCATCCTGCGGTGTGATTCATGCCGGCCGAATGTCGGTCACCGGCGGGGCTGCTGCACGGTGCAGCGATCCCCGCCGGGGCGCCGGCTGGCCGTCCCACATGCCGCCGTCCGCGCCCGCCACCCGGCCGACCAAGGTCGGACAGTCAGCCGGCCGGCGGCGGCGGCGCCGCGGCGTGGCGCGGCGTGGCTGAATCACCGTCAGCTGGGCCGCCAGCTGGCCGCCGCCGCACCCCCCGGCAGAGGCCACCGACGCCGCCGGCGCGAGGGCGTCCGCACCGGCTAGCCTCTGCCCGGCCGGCGGCAATCTTGGAAATAGCACCACCGCTCAATGAGGCGGCGGCGCGGCGCGGCGCCGGTCGATGGCGGCTGGCGGTCGCCGGGCGGATACCGACCTTCCCCGTCTGTCCCCTCCCCCCCCCCCCCCACCGACTCGGCGGCGGCGGCGGCGGCGGGAGACCGGATACTACGGGTCGGCGGCGCCACGCACGCACGCGGATAGCGTACTACGCGCGTAACGTAATCGACCGTAGCAGGTGCCGGGAAACAGGGGTCGTAGCGCGCCGACTGGAAAATGATCGGGCCCGCGCGCCGGGTCGTTACCGGCCGGGGGAGCCACGGGCGGTGCGTTACAGCGTGCCAGACAGGGATGTTTGCCAAGGACACGAGACGGTGCGCGCGTGGTATTTTCAAGGCAAGGTCGCTGATGTTATAACGGTACATAACATTGGTGGGTTGTGCGTGCCTGGTCGTTTTTCCTCGATATGGGGCAAATAGTGAAGGAGGCTTTTGCGTCTAAATTCCATTCCTTTCAGGATACTGATTCGAAAGTTATTGTTATGATTGTAGATATGAATGACGAGAAAATGAAAATAAATCAAAGCGATCCTGATATTTTTTGATGATGACGGAGATCATAAAAAAACACTTTAATTATTGCTCTCGTTTTTTATGTGCTCACTTAAGTGAAATAAAAGCCAAAACAAATACACGAACATTGATTTGTTGGTATTTTTATGGAAAAGCGAGATGAATAGAGTTTACTGTGCATTTTTCATATCCTGGTTATTAGCATGTGGCATGTAATTTCTATTGCTGGCCATAAGGCCATTTATGAGCAATTCTCGCGAACATCTCGAACATCGGTCGATAGATAGGGTTTCATCCATCTTTTTTTGCCATTGGCTGTTATTAGCACCCCGCTGCCGTCTAAATTCGGGTCGGCCGCGAACCACCGACTGCTGCCTCTTCGAGCCCACCACCGGCCGCTGACCGTTCAAATCTGTGACTCATCTGACCGCTGACCACTCATCTGACTGCTGACCACCATATAACCACCGACCACTGACCGCTCTCCGTTCTGTTCACAGGCGGCGATTCTGCAGCAGACCTCCGACTTCATCTGTAACCTGGAGCAGGAGAAGGCGCACCTGCTCACCCAGAACTGCCAGTTGAAGCGACTGCTGGGGCCGCAGTCGTCGGGCGGCTCCGAGTCTCCGGACCCGGCGGCCGGCGCTGCGGACAGCCCGCCGCCGCCGCCGGCACCGCCCCAGTCGGCGGTGCCGCGCTCCGCTTCCCAGGAGGAGCTGACGACGGGGGAGTCGGCGCACCGGCCGCCGTCCGCGCCGCAGGAGCCGCAGCTGCTCACGCTGCGCATGGAGCTGCAGGAGCTGCGCGCGCAGCTGGAGCGCGAGCGGCTGCAGCGGCTGGCGGCTGAGGAGCGGCTCCGGCAGACCGAAGAACAGCAGCAGCAGCAGCAGCAGCAACAGCAACAGCAGCAGCAGCGGGTGCACATGCGGTTCAAGAAGCCCCGCCTTGAGCCGGCAGCGTCACCACAGCTGGTGATGAGCGAACAGCATGTGATGGTGTCGGAAGAAACCGTCCAGCCGCCGCCGCCGCCACCGCCGCCAGTGGCCCCTCGCAGGTACGATAAAGGGGGACACTGGGAATTTGGGAGAGGTGCACTTGGTATTGGTGCTTGGTATGTAATGTCAAACTTATAGACAAACTCTTCGTAATATTCTTGTTGGGCAAGTTGCCAACTGCCAAGTCAGATTGGGTCAAGTCAGGCCTTGCTGTTCAGTTAAACGATCCCAGAACTGCCAGCTGAAGTGACTGCGTCTGCGTCGAAGTTGGCGGATTCAATGGACAAAGCTGTTTGAACTGTTCGAGACTTCGTAGCTAACTGTCCCGCTATTCGTTTTTTCTTCTTATGTTGCGTTAGTGAAGTGTTCACGCTCCGTATACCACGACTATCACTGACTTTTTTGTCTATCTCCCTCAGGCCAATGTACTTGAGCTCGACAACATCGCGTCAGAACCTGGATACGATCGTGGAGGCGATCCGTCACCTGGAGGGCGACCATCTGTTCGGTGACTGCTCGGAGCCGAGGCCGGCGCGAATCGAGCCGGTCCACACCCGCCTGGAGCCCCAGCTGCCCGCCCGCGTGGAGCCCATCCAGACTCGGCTCGAACCCATCCAGACCAGGCTAGACCCGATCCAGACCCGACTCGAGCCGATCCAGACTCGCCTGGAGCCGCTGCAGCTGCACGTGGAGTCACTCCCAAGCCACCTGGAGTCCGCTCACCCGCGGCTGGAGCCGCTTCACCTGGAGCTCCAGCAGCCCTGTCTGGAGCTGGAGCCGCAGGAGGCGCCGCTGGAGCTGACTACACACGCGCGCAGCTCAGCGTCCGAGCAGTACCGGCCGGCAGTGATCATATCCCAGCACCCGCCACCACCGCGCCACTAACCCAGCGGCGAGCGGGGCAGGGCGGAGAGAGAGCGCGACAGTCTGCATTTACCGCAGTCCAGATACACGAGCTTGGAGACTGGACGGCGGCCGGGCCGGACTACTCAGGTGGTTGGATGAGAGGACGCGAGACGCCGGGGACGGTGACGATTCGGTGCGGTGTAGTGTGAACCCGAGTGAATGTGACTGACCTAGTGTGTGAAGAGCGCGGAGAGTGCACTACGCGTATGCGCTTTGTATGCCATGTATAGGGCTGATTCTATATTCTCTCGGTCGGACGGATTTGTTACTTTGTCGGCGCGGTCTGGCGGTCGGCCGGCCGATACCGTTTTCTGCTGGACAATATGTGATGTTACATGTGTTTGAATATGTTCAGTGACTAGGACCTCGCATTATTCTAGCTGCCGTGAGCGCGCATGATTCTTGTAATACAGTATTTGTTCACATGGGCAAAATGCTATTTTTTGCTGGCACTTCACGCAGGTAGCTCAGTTCAAAGATCGGTTGACTATCACTTGGGCCTCGTTGAGTGCGCTGAAGGCAACCGATCTGTTAAAGCGGACAGTTGTAGGCTCAAAATTGCAATAATCCACCGTTTGAAACTTCTATTCGTTTACATATTTGTGTTTTGGAAAAGATGAAATTAAAAAATGGCTCTTATTAAAGGGACTATCCCACCTTTAACATGGGGTTTGAGTTGATCAACTCAAACCCCATGGCTATCTCGGCTATCTCGAGATAGCCAAGTTTGCGGCGAGGTTCAGAAACCACTATCTATCTAGGTTGCAACCCCCGCGGCCTCTTGGTGTTGAAGAAATTCGTTCCCTTCATTTGAAAATGGGTCTTGTACAAGGCCCTATCTTCAACATGGAGCGACCGTTAGTGTGACGTCACCTCGTTTAGTCATTCTGATTTAAATGGATTTGTTCGTTGAAAAATCGCTTAAAACTTGGTCTGAACTTTGTTGTGGTGCCTACAGAGTAAAAAGAATCAGCTTTATGACAGTAATGTGGCCTGGGGAAGGAGGTAATTTTGGGCTGTGACGTCACATATTTGAAAGTTTGTGTTTGGAATATGGGAAGCCTAGGATGTTTAATGAAAAATAAATGCCAGAACCGTGTCCCTGGTCATCCAATCTATAAAGTCGGGCACAATTTAACTGGTTTTAACAACATTTTAGAAGGTGGGATAGTCCCTTTAATGACTAGTATGAAAAATACTGACATTCTTTCAGCGACTTAAATACTTATGCACACAGTATCACGGCGCCAATCTCAACACTCAACAGTTTACTCGGATCGCTCATTGATCACAGCGCTACAAGGGTCACCAGTCGCGTTGGACCGGTCACAGCAGTACGATGGGAAACCGCGTCTTCCTGAGCTCGCACACATCTCGCCACTCGCTGTCCTCAGTCGGTGATTAGTCCTCACTCCTCTGTACTAACCGAGAGGCATCACTGGGCAGTGGGCACTCAACTGCCGCCGACGAATCTCATCCGGCACTCATCAATCGTAATACGCGAGTGGCACTTGGCACAATTCACTTGAACTGGCACGGCTAGCAGCATTCGCGAATGGCACTTCTTCAGACGGCCATCATTCAATGCCATCCTACTGGTGTGAGATCACTCGTTCACCATCACAATCACTCCATCCGCAGTGGGATGCACCGTCCCACACACTGCGTGCCCGGGTTGGACCGTTCGCCGAGTCTGCAGGGCAGCTGCCATTTGCCTTCCGAACTCTGGCCTCCCTACCCCCACCTCACTGTCATCTACCGGCCGAAACCAGTACACTAGTCCGTGCAGTTCACCGGTAGATGTCACTGGTATCGAGAAGCGCGGTGGGCCCGTGGAGCCCGAGGTCAGATCAAGGCAGCTGATGACGTGGATGTCGCTCAGGTCGGAGGACACGGCTCGGTGGCGGTACGGAAAATCTTGTTGTTGGGTTACCTGGAAATAAGACGAAGCCTGTCAAGCAAAGAGTTGAGACAATTTAGGTCATGACAGGTCAAGACAACCCAGGTCAGATCAGCAATCACTCATTCAATACAAAATATTTAGTTTTCAGAACTGTTAATTACCATATAGCTAGAGGATGGGTCCAACTGTTTTCATGAAGTATTGCACTAGAAGCGAACGCTAGTAATTGCTCAAGCTAGGAACAAGCGAAAATCGTTTTATTTTTCTGCACCCGCCGAAGCCGACATACTACAATACACAACGGACGCACTGTACCGATATCTCCAACACCACAGACACATTACTACACCTACACCCCCGGCGTACCCCACACAAACACCTCTCTGCCCCGTCCGTCTCACCGCGAACACGTTGATGGCGCTGCAGTCGAGGCCCTCCGTGTTCTCCGGCTGGACTGCCGTCATGTTGAGCAGCAGACGACTGGAGACGGCGACTGCCAGGAGTTGGAGACGAGACGGCCACAGCAGACCGCCCGGCCGCACGGACACGCTGTAAGATAAACAGGCATAGGCATTACGATCTAGTTTACAAGCCTGTCTGAATGGGGTGATGGTCTTGACTACGAGAATCGGGTTTCACGGGCGACTAAGACGGTTCGCAATCATAGAACACTAAAAGTTGTTTCCAGGGGCGTAGGCAGGGGGGGGGCCACTGGGCCATGGCCCCCCCCCCCTTGGGCGCCGAAGGCGCCCTTTGCGATTGGAGGGCGCCGAAGGCGCCCTCCAATCGCAAATGCAATTGTGATATAATCGAATCGAAAAACAATCGCGACTGGAGGGCGCCCTCCAATCGCGAATGTGTTTACAGGGAAAATACGGATGGAGGGCGCCCTCGGAGGACGCCCATTCCAAATACGCCCTCCAAATACGGTTGGAGGGCTCCCTCGGGCGCCCTCCAACCACATTTGTAGGCTGTAGCTCTCTAAGCGTAACGGTGGTCGCCTATGTAAGCCGCTGTCCTGTAAATAAGCGCCCTCTCACCCGAAGGCGCCCTCCTGTAGGTCGCCACCCTGCTACACATTGCCGCCCTTCTGCTGATCGGCGTCAGTAAAACGACGGAGATTCAGTAAATGACCCAGCTTGAATACTGACCAGCAGATTTGTATATAATACCCCTGCATGCATGATTCCCTTCATCTGAATCCTTCTAACACTGCTCCTGTGTGGATGTATGAACGAATGTGTACTCCTGGGAATTAGAAACTAGTCACTAACTGTTTTCAGTTATGACTACTATGCCTTCTCTTACACCTTTATACTAACAGCATGATAATGTGTCTCGTTTTTTGCTTCCTTGAGTTTGTTTCATTTCCTAGCTGGGAGTGCCGCGACAATTGTCTTCATTATTTTCCTGGAGGTGTTAACGTAAGGTTCTGTGTGTCGTTGGGATAGAGGGAGGGGGCACTCCTGGTCACCTGATAATGGGTGGCGGTGTAGAAGTTTAAAAAAAAAAAATCGGCGTCCTCATAATTATTGGCGCTCTCCTACCTATTGAGCCCTCATGTGAAATTTTGAAGGCCGCCTTTCTCCCTTTTGGCACCCTCTTGTTCAGTGCCGCCCTCCTACCTATTGGTTCCCTAGTCCTTCCTGTTGAATGTTAATCGGGGCCCTTCTCCTATTGGCGCCCTCGTGTAGATCGCCGCCCTCCTAACCACTGGCACCCTCCTGTTGATCACCGCCCTCCTATCCACTGGCACCTTCCTGTTGACCAGCGCCCTCCGCACAGACGCCCTCCTGTTCGTGTCATCCTCTTGAGCAAAGGCGCCCTCCTCACCATTGCCACCCCTATTTTAATCGTCACCCTTCCGCTCATTGGCGACTTCCAGTTGATGACCGCCCTCCCACCTATTGGCGACCTCTTGTTGATCGCCACCCTCCTATTGGTGCTCTCCTGTTCCTCGCCACCCTCTTACCTGGTGGCGCCGTCCTGTTGATTGTTGATCGGCGCCCTCCTACCTATTGGTGCCCTCCTGTTGATCGCTGCCCTTCTATCCATTGGCGCCCTCCTGCTGCTCGCCAACTTCCTACCTATCGGTGCCCTACTGTCGAAACTCGGGATGTTGATCGGGGCTCTTCTACCTATTAGTGCCCTCCTGTGGATCGCAGCCCTTCTACCTATTGGCAACATCCGTTGATCGCTGCCCTCCTATCATTTATTTACTCCTTTGGCATGTTTTTCAACTTAGTCGTTCTATTGCACATAGTTGATGTCTTGCCTGTGAAAACTGCCACAAATGAACGTGCATTCAGCACAATGAATGAAGTATCTATACCTACCAAAACTATCTACGCTCTACGATGCATAAAACACGTCTTTGGTCTTAACGGATTGATCCTACTTTACGTGCATCATGGCATCTATATGGATTACGATTAAGTATTGTCAACAGGTTCGGGCGCAACAGCAGGCATCTGAAGTTTCGGTGATTGAAACTGGTTATGTGGGTACACTGTATGCATCTGTGAGAAGGCTATGAAGGCTGGTCTGAGGTAATTTGGATGATGTTTACGCATCTCGCGCTCCGGTATCAATCCGATACGGTGATCTGGTGCGTAGATATGCCACCGCCAATAAACTTTTATACATCGACACCCATGAGCCAAGCTTTCTGTACAGTTTGTGTGGCAGCGGCCCGACCAAACCTTAGGTATTTTTTACACCTTCAAATTTGGTAAAAGAGCGAGAGGAGCTTTGAACAGTGATCGTATAAAAGGCGTGCCTAAAAAGCGGAGGAAAAGGTTGTTTTCAAAAATTTCGCGCGCCTTCGGCGCAGCATTTCAAGAACACTTGACCTTTTGTGACCTGGAGTATACTGAATACACACGATGCAAAATCAATGCAGCACGACCTATACGAGGTTACGCAAAAAAAAAAAAAACTGGTGGCATGGTAAAAAACGCCTCCCAACCCCCCAACCCCCACTGAGCGATTTTTTATCTCGCGACCGTATGGCGCCCTCCTTGGGTGAGGTGGCGCCCTCCAAACCCTTGGCCCCCCCCTTCGCGATTTTCTAAATACGCCGCTGGTTGTTTCCCATTCCACATGAACTTACCAGGCCTTAGTTCATGAGTTCAGTGGGTTTCAAATAACTTGCAGTGAAAGCCTCGTGCCGGAAACGACAATATTAAGTAAATAGATGGTCGCCATTCACATGGCAATAAAACATATGATTTGATTATCACTTGACCTCGAGCATCACGCCAAACTCAAACTTCTCTTAGCGCTGTATAATGTAGGTTTAGGTATATATAAAACCTCAAGTACGCCTCCCGTATACCGCACCAGTAGCTCCCATTCTTCACTCACCTCTGTACCATCCTCAGCACAGCCGGGTCGAGCCGACCAGAAGGCAGCACGGGGGCCGACAGCACGCAGTCCCAGCTCCCGTTCGTCCGCCGGTCCTTCCCCTCTGACGGAACCCGGGTGACTGACTCTGACCCCTGCTCCCCCACCGGGCTCTGACACTGTCCGACACTCTCTGAAGTTACCTCGGCACTCTTACTGTCCATACGGATCACATTGACCCCACTCAGATCGAGAAGACGAGCGAGAGGTATGGGACACAGGTCCAGCAGCCGGGGAGGAGGGGAAGACGGTGGCCGGGCAGCCATCCAGTGATGTAGGGCGGAATTTAGGGTGTTTAAATGCTGAGAGTTCCCGGCGAAGGCTAGTGCTTCCGGGCTGACCTCTTCGGGGTTGGTGGAGGTTACCACATCGTCGCCAGATGCATATACGTCATCGTCGGGTTCAGCAGCTTCACATACATCACGAGCTGTGGTACTGGCAGGGGTTCGGCATATTTTCGCAGCTTCAGTATCCATTTTAGGCTGATTTGATTCAGGTGTATGATTTTCGTCCATTTCTCCAGTTCCATTCCCCAAAGTGGCTCTCTCTGTTGACGCGTCTTCTAGTCGCAGCTCTAGGTGACCCTTACACACGCTCCTGATCACTAGGTTCTGCCCAGCACACACCACGTGACCGGTCGGTACCGGGAACACCGCCTGTTCCCAGCACGTTTCCTCACCGGGCGCACTGCTCAACACCTCTCCCTCACCCAGCTGGAGCTCAAACCACGTGACCAGCGCATCCAGCCGTCCGTCGGCCGTACACCGCATCACGTGACGTCCCTCCACACCACTCAGACCGCGCTCTATATCATCCGGGTCGTTAAAATCCACTGAGTACACCTGCACTGGCTCGGTGAGCAGTTTGTATCCCCCGGGCGTGTCCTCCAGCCGTTCCGACCAGTAGGGTTCCGTCAGACGGCGCCGCAGCTGATCGCCGCTGGGCAGACGGGCACTGAGCTGTGAGCGGATCTCTGCACTCTCCACGGCAGCGGCCCAGACGGCGGCAGAGGCCGGCAGCACGCGTCCCCGCCCCGGGGGTAGCAGCAGGTGGCGCCAGGCGTGCTGTAGTGTGGAGAGGATGTGCTCGCCCAGCAGACCGGCATCGAACGTCTCGGTCACTAGTAGAGACGCCCTGTCAAAAAAAAAAAAAAAAAAAACGTGACGTTTAGAAAACGCGGAATACAATGAGAGCGACACTGTTGAAGAGTAGAGCCAAAGAGAAATACAGAACGAGAATACTCACTATGCACGTAAAGCTTGATAAGACGAAACAAGGGCTAAAAGCAGTCGTTAAGTAACTGTTCTCCCCTCACATAAAAGACAGCGTAATTATAAAGAAAATGCATTAGATTGGTGAGATTAATTATCAAAACGCCCTGCACTATTATCTACGTCCTTATTTTTTTCAATCTGGCTTCTACTTTAACCTCAATTGAACGGCCCATCCAGCATCCAGCAACCAGCTTCTGCGACCCACCACGTCCCATTTCAGCATCGTTGCGTCGCCGCCAGCGTGTCCCCCGCCTTTACTTGACAAGTAAAGGCTTGACATTGTAAAGTATTACAATGACGACAAGTAATACTTGTCGTCATTATTCTACCCACCTGCACGGGAGGTCCTCCCCGACGGTGAGCTCGTGGGACCACTTGTTGACCAGCTGGACGCGCCTCTCCAGTGCGTTATCCGCCAGGGTCGCGGCCGCCACCTGGCACATGGCCTCGGAGCTCTCACAGGCGACCACAGGAGAGGCACCCGCCTGCGCTGCCAGCATGCTGAAAACAAACGCAATGAAGGTTAGGTTGAGAACATATGTGGATTGTACGTAATCGCGTTCGCCCTCTCGTTGCAGTATTGGAAGGATCGCAGAATGTCTTGCTACAACACTGCTAAGTGCTAACACTACTAACAGAGAATGTCGACTTGCTACATTCATTATTGATTCAATAAAAAGCATCACAAATAAGTAGCAACGCAAGCTTTAACTAATGATTCGAACTTTCAAATGTGCGTAGTTTTATAAGAGTTTCACGCACAATCACGCACAGATCGATCTTAAAAAGACGCCTAACGTCATAAAAGCCCCTAGCCGCGACAACACGACCCCTCACCTGAGTAGCCCGGTGCCGGCGCCTACATCCAGCACCAGTTCTCCCTCGGTCAGGCGCCGGGACGCCGCACGCACCGCGCGCCCATACGCAGCGTTCCTGCGTGCGTCATTGAGCATCGTGAAGTGCCAGCGGTCCACCAGCTGAGAGTTGGCACGCTCCAGGCCGTCTCGGGCGGCCACCAGACTGCCGTCGGCCCGCGCCGCGCGCAGGAACTGAGCGGCCGCTTGGAGCACGTGGCCATGCCTGGGAACGGGACGGGCGGGGCTCGGAGTTTCGGCCTGGTATACCACGTGGCGGAGGCTGCAGTGTCGGATGTTTTTCGGTGTTTTTTGAGGGCGATGGCACGCTACAGAGCCACATAGGGCAGGGTAACATCCTCCACAGCCACTCTGATGTCCTTCACCCAGTTCTTTGTTTCACAGGACGCGCAAATTGTATCGATAAATTGAGACACGCGTGCGTCCACGCTTAAAGTAGACATCACCATCCGGAATTTGGAGCTTGAATTCACACTGGAGCCTCCTGATTCGTCTCTAGCGCAATCAGTGCTTCTTTCGCGTACTTCATCACAACTGGTGGCATCATTAACGCAGGTCGTGACTGCGGATGTGCCGACAACCGGGCACTGCTGCTCTGTCAAGGTGAGGCTCTCCAGACCTGAGACAAGGTCCGTTTTGTCGATCTGAGCTGGGCAGTTCACCACCGAATCAGCGCACTCTGCACTCTGTGATCCAGGCTTTTTACCAGCACCATCTACGAGATGTCGCGGCACGCTGAACGACAGCAGCGGCAGCCAGCGGCCGTCCACGTCTACAGAGACGTTATAAACCCTCAGCGGCACCGCTGTCAGACCGGCATAACCCGTCTGCGACACGCTGTCGGTCGGAGGAACCCAGTACACCACGGGGTACCCGAGCAGGGTCCCAGCCGCTGCTGGAAGGCTCCACTCGGGACCGGTTTCCAGCTCCAGGATTACTGTATCCTCCTCAGCGCCCCCAAATATCAGCTGTCTGAGTAAAGACTCTGTCTGAGCGCAAAAAGCAGTGCGGACCTCGTCACTTGCTAGAGAGGGTCGGCTATCGCTCATAGCCGCGCCGTTTCCGGAGAACGATGCTATGTTTACGAGTACCACGTTATCCGCCGCCCGTTCTAAGTGCCATTTCAGTGTCCCCAGATGACAGGTAAGTGCATCTCCTGCCAGCGATAGAGTGGCCAGCGAGTCGCCGATCAGTCCACGCTGGCGACACTCGTCCAACAAACGCGCCGCCTCCGGAGGGCCGATGGCACAGCAGTCCCAGAGACAGCTGGGCCGCACACCCCCGGCCACCGCCAGCAGCTGAGCGCGGATGTGAGCGGTGTGGCGGCGGCCGCGCCGTCCGAGCGCCGCGTCCACCGCCGACAGCCACGGGTCCATAGTCACCTGCAGACCGCGGGGAGGAGCCGCGACAGTGTCCGCACAACAGGCTGGGGAGAGAGGTGGATGGGATGGTGCTGGTTTGTGGAGTAATTGTGTATGAGTCACAGTTATCAGCTACAGAGGGCCAGTAAAGAAACTCAGCCACAAGAGAAACTACAAGGAACAAAACATGCTGAACAATGCAACAATAAATATAAAGTCACTGAAACAATAGCAAAAGTGATCATGTTAATATTAAACATATCACAGCATTTTGAAAGCCATAAGAGAAAAAAGTTACAGAAATGTTGCCTGGTGTTTAACATATTATTTTATATTAAAACAGCAGCCACGAAAAATGCTCACCTGTATAAGAAATCACCTAGAGAGCTGATGATTATTGCACTCTCAGGATATACTTCAAGAACAGACTCATATATTTTCAACAGATCCTGATGTCTCCCTGCATCTTCCAAAGATTGGGTAGCTTTTCCTGAAACAATCATGTATATTGAGCCATAACATTTAAGCACTAGGTATTAATCAACACACAGCCCTGACAACAAGTTCAACTCACCATTTTGATAAAATTCTGGGTAACATTTAGCAGCAGTAGATTGATTTCAGTTAACAAGAAAGCAAACACTATTGAGCTATAAATCAAATGATGAAGCTGGTATCATTATTCAGCTAGAAAACAAAACAAAAAATCTGATGAATTTAAAACACTGTCCACAGTATGGTGATGGTCACAATTGTATTTTTTTTTATAAAAAACATGGACTTGATTCACAGGCAATGACAATGCTTAATTGCTTACCAAGGCAGGAAGCAACTGTGTGATGAAGTTCATCAGATTTTTCTGGAAGAAGCTTCACAACCAAAAGGAGATGGCCCAATGCCAAACCAAAATTATTGCTACTGATACATTTTATTGCCAACTTGTGATGTTTTTCAGCAGTGTTTTGATGATCCTTCCTTGACTGATTCATTCCATTAGCAGTTATCAAAATACTATTTCATAAATTGGATCACTAAAAGGCATCAATGATCTTGAAACATTCAAAAGCATTCTTTTCTGGAACCTAGAAAATAGAAGGGATGGTTAACACGAAAGTTGGAAGTAATCATTATTGCTGAAATGCATAAAACAGGTAACATACTTAACTTAATGATTCTGAAAAGCTGGAATAAATTAAACATTCAATGAAATGTGTTCAGGCTATATCAAAATAATTTGATTGAAATTTCTTAATGTTTAACGAACAAAATACATATTAAAGTACATTCCCATTTTGAGCATCCATCCAAATCCTCGATCCCAGAACATAAATGTCAGCAATAGCATAGTTCAAGTTAACTGTTTGAAAATTTGTACTTCATGCATGCAATGGGAATTAGATAAATTGTAGTCAATGTTTTAATCATTTAGTTTGAGTCATTATTAGACAAATTTGTACTTTCTGGTCCCTCAAGTCGAAAGTAAAGAGAACGCTAGTTTGAGTCAAGGCTATATAAACCGTTTGAGTCATGAAAGTAGCTTGCAAAAACGGGCCTTGGTAACAACTGGATTTCCATTACGTCATGGGTGATGATGTCACACCACGGGTGACGTTTCACTGCTGCTGCTGCTGTCCACGGAGGGCAGCGTTTGTGAGTGGAAAACAGCACAGTGTATATAAATACAGTGTCGGCAAATGAGCCTGGTCACGTGACCGGCGGACTCGCTGTTTTTCGAGGGATCCGCACGTGCGGTTGTGGCGGGGGCACCTCCCGGTAACTGTGGTGCCGACTCGCTCTCGGCCCCCATAGGGATACAATGGGACCTACTTTTTGATTAGCTCTCCTGACTAAACTAGGACGAATTTTTCAAAGATACAACTAGCACCACATGCAGTCGTGTGTAAGCTTTCTAACGGTACCAAAAATATATTTTTATCGGCAAAATTGAATAAGTACAGGCCCATTTTAGGTTCGATTCGCGCTTATGACGGAAGAGAAGCCACCACTAATTATAAATACAACGAACAAGTGTTGAAAACCGGAGTATAAATGCAGTTTTGAATTACATTAAAGCCATTTTCAGTCACTGCAACCGATGAGTGGAAGTGATCGGTGTATTAGGTCACCCGTTACCGTTAGGTATTACTTTTTAACTACCTACCAACAACACCCATAGGTATTGTTCTGATCTATTCCAGACAACAAACTAAGGTTTTGTGTTGAACTGTGCCAGAAAGAGCAGTTAGATCAAATATGGATACGAAGGTAAATAGGACTATACGAGCATCCATGTTGATACGTTTATGCTGGAGCTAGTAGTTGATAGGTGTTCCGTTCTATTGATGCGGGCAAACAACGAATCGGGGTTGTCATGGGCGAATCTGTAGGTATAATTGTGTCTTGTATGAAACATGCACGGTATCTGCAAATACTAGAATGCTGCTGCTAAGCTGAAAGAAGGCTCAGCCGGACTTTTATACTATGAACCGGCCATGTTTAGTTTATGCCGGGCTCGAGGGTGCAGTGTTCGTCACGGGCCAGCCAACCCACAGAACACAGCCCATCCCAAGCGGGGCCCATGGGCGCCGAACCCAGCCCAGCTCAGGCCCATTGAATTTCACACGCTTTTGAGGCTTTTATGGCGGTCGCCGGAATAGGCAAATGGTAGATCAACTCTTCAAAAATTGTTTCAATATCTACTTCGCTGGGAGGAAATGAGCTTTGATTGTCAAAAAATGCAAAACTTTGCATTTGTTACAGGCACAACATCCGAAATGCAACATGTGCTTACAGTTGTACGCCCGTCCTTAACATGGTTGTCATGAAAGTTGGGGGAGGGGGGAGGCGGCCGCACGTTGAGGGGTCACAGTCCGGTATTTTGACGCCCCCCCCCCCCCTTTACCGCCTGAACGGGAACCTTCACTCCATCCCGTCCTCTGTATTAACCGCCTTTAAGCCCGCCCGATGACCCTGCCGTTTTCAAAGCCAACCTGAGCTGAGCAAGATAATTCGGTGTAAACGTCGACAACTGCAGTGAGTTGTGTGCAGTCCCGGTGTTCCGCTACAACATTATTGCACCTCTCGTTTTCGCCATCATCGACGCCGTGCACTTCCGAAACATGGATGCTCCGGGACAGTTTGAAACAAGTAGATGTCCTACACGGACGCTTTGCACATCCAGTGTCTATACATATTTCCATATTTCAAACAAATCGAGCAGAAAATATTATAACGAAACAGCGGCGTACAGCGTACAGCGTGCAGCGGGGATATCTGAACAATGCACCATACATGACGAAGAGCCAGCAGACCCTGGTGCAGCTCAAGACGGCGGTCGTTGATACCACTCTTGTGCCTGCGCCCAATGCGCGCCAACGTTGGCGGGGGGGGGGGGGGGGGAGCAGTGAGTCATTCAATACGTTGAGCTACTTTGAACATGTTCCATAGCGGCCTGACAGTAGCAAATGTGTGTTGGCTAGCTGCGCAACTGAGTAAATTTTCACACAATTTTACTTCCTTTGATTTGCAAATCCTTTTATCTGGTAAACATGCTTTAATTAAGTAGAATGATAATGAAGTGATTCAGTTTTTGGAAACGTTTCAGAACAAAACATATTAAAACAATGTCTCATACGTATTATCAGAATAACAACAAAGACCGCCGGCCATCGGTCATGAACACCGTTCACCTGTCACTATCACTGCCAGTGGAAACGCACACACACACGCGCGCACACGGACACACACGTCAGCCGCAGTCAGTTACAGGTAAGTTCCCAGAGGCCTCTCCGACGGCGGCCGGCCGGCTCCCAGAGGCTGCTCCGACAGCGGCTGGCCGTGGCTCCCAGGGACTGCTCCGACGGCGCGGCGGCTGTCGCTACCAGGGGCTGCTCCGACGGCGCCTGGCGCGCCGCTCGCAGATCCTCCTTGGAGTTCTAGCGCGCTGATGGTGGCTGTGTGATCCGCTTTCCCTTTCTGAGCTTGGTGTAGCACAGGCGACCTGCAACCACATCACAAAAACTGAGTTTGTGAATTTGAATCAACTTTGAACTGAACCACAACTATTATGTTTTTTTTATGAAGATTTACCAAACCAACAATTTCAACTTCCACACTGCGCTGACAGGTATACACATAATACACAAATAAAGGCTAAAACCGTTTTTCCACTTCTTCCACTTGTCATCAATACATTTTGCCCAAGATATGAGTGTGCAACAAGTAATACATATGACTAGCCTGCTGCATCGCTTTGATGGCTTCGTGCAAAATGTAAACCTAAAAATTTCGCTCTTTCTGATTTATGGCACATCACTTTTATGCCAATTTATTAACTTTTTGGAAGGTGGCATTGTCCCTTTAACACAGGCAAGCCCTTGCCGAGCCCGGCATATGCCCGGCCTCCTCGAGCTTAGGCCCGGCAAAAGTCCGGCGGGTCCGATTTTAAGCCCGACACCGGGGCCCTGTTTCACCGGTGATAGCAGCACGATGCTTTTACACGTGTCAAATTGGGTTTCCATGGAGACATGAACAGGCCCATTGCTCCAACACTACCACAAGTGTGACGTCAGCTCGCGCAATTTGATAGCAGCGTGGTAGCAGCGTCCCGTGAAACACCGCCCGGGCCCGTAGGCTCAAGACTTGCATCATTACTATGCATATACTGGTATGGTAAGCAACCTGGCATATGAGTTGGACTCAAACAATGAAGTTAAGTGGCTAGTGCTTACCGGAAATGAGCAATCTGGTACCCGATGTCCCGTTGTACTGGAAGAGTGTTGGGATGCAGCTGCCCTCCTCAAAATGACAGGAACAGAGCTGGGAAGTGCTCCTGGGAACTGCATCTGCACGTCTGTAAATGACAGATGCAACAAATGTAACAACTGGCAAACTGTTCTTGCACGTGGACTTTTACATACAAAATGCCTTGTGTTTAGAGGTAAGATATTGACTCAGACAGCACAGCCACAGCTTCTAAACAAGATGGTATCACTGACACTGTATCATGTTATTTTGGCTCCAGAATCCAGAATCAGAAGGTTGACATCCTCACCTAGCAATCAAAATGTAGTTAATTGGCTTTATATCAATGTGAGGTGCTAAGAGTGAACAATTATGATTATTTACAATGCTTCAGAACATGGTCAAACCTTAACTAACCCAACCTACAGTGGTTCGCTAGCAACATTCGTAGCACGTCTTTTTTGTACATAGTAACTGGAATATATGCTAGGTAAGAGTACCTACATCTTTTCTTTTTTTTTGTTAAAGAGGTATGCATTTGGCCTGTAGCCTATAACACACCTCTTCAACCAAAAATATTTTCCTTACCCATCCCAACACATCCCTTAGAGCTGCCTGCGGCATTACACTCAACGGATTACCAGGTCAAAGCATTACCTTCATTAGGTAACTTGTGGTAAACATGATAAGCTTTTAATGGATTTCATGTTCTCTTTCCTGTAATTAGTTTTATGCAATGGATTTGATTTGTTATGCTCATTATGATCAGCACAAAAATAAAACCTTTATATAAATAATATTTTCTGTATTTTAATAAAAGAAGAACTATATTTGGTAGTAGTAAAGCAGGCGTCACACTTCTTTTTGCAACCAAGGAGAGGTGCTGTAGGTTAGGTTGTAGGTTCTAAGTTGTAGGTACCTAGGTTGTAGAGTTTAGGTTGTAGGTATGGCTAGGTCAGGTTTAGTTAGGTTTGTTTTGGCTTGGTTCAATTAGAAAGCATCTCTGGGTATAGCACCTCTCCTTCATTGCAAAAAGTAGTGTGACGCCTGCTTTACAACTACCCAATATTCTATAGAAAATATTGTTTGACGCGGAAGCTTGCATTGATTTATCATGTTGTAAAATTCAAACCCATTGGCTGTTAGCAGCATGCCAATGCTGATTAGCTGACGATGACATGGCTGCATTCCTCAGCAAATTCCTCAAGAAGGCACTTTTCAGGACGAGAAATGGAATCTTTGCCTATGGTGATCATTGGGCTGTAAAAGCTCCTGGTTTGTGCTTGTCATTACATAACATTTATTACATTTATCATTACTACATAATGTATTGCATTTATCAATACAGCTAACAAGGACACATCTGGATCTTACCAAGGACACATCTGGATCTTACCTGACAGCCCTCACCCAAGCGACCCTCATCTTCTCCTCTCTTGGAAACCTCCTAAATGTACCTACATCTTGCAGCAACACAAAACTGAATCAGAGTAAGAGCTCTGCAATCTGCAATAAAATACTAGGCAGGTCATAGCAAAATACAAGAGAAAAGATTGAAAATCTGATACAAGCTTAAAATTGTATAAGATTTGGAGCAAGCAGTTTGTTGACGCCATCAAATGTATCAACCGCGCAGTATTTGTCATCAAATTTTGGTGCCGAGTCAAGGTCAAATGTCACGTGACATTTGGCCGACAGTTGGAAAACAGTAGCAACATTGTAAATGAAGGCAGTATTGGCGCTTATGCTACATATGAAATTTATAACAACATATTGATATTGGTGAATGTTTATTTTTGTTACTTTTCATAAACCCTCCATTTCAGAGGGGCTCTGGTATTAACTGGATAATTCGCCAGCTGACCCCGTATGGTGGCGCTAGTGGAGCAGCACCATATGACGTCAGCAGAAAACACCGTGAGCAGCTATGAAATGGGAGCGAGCACCACGGAAATATCGAAAGGTGATGGACATGTACTGACTTTGGTCATTCAAGTACCACCAACACCATACAAAAACCATATAATATCATCAAGACTGATTCTGGATTCGATTCGTTCGGGTATTTAAAATACATAAAAAATGTTTGTTACCGAATTCTGAAACAGTATAAGGATATTCTTGTTCCTTACTTTTACCTTGTGGAGTACTTTTACTTGCTTTCTAGTGCGCCCATCACTATCTTGAAATCTGGATTGCAACGCTGTAGGAAAACTTGTTTTTTCATTTGTCATTTCTTCCACTTTTAAGCAGTGATAATTTATTTGGTTTTATACATTAAATAATGAAGACGGCTCCTAACTTTTTAGGGATCTGCAGTGGCCCAGAGAGCAAAATCAGACATTTTCTAGAAACTTGAGGCCACTATTTTCTTATATGCTAGATAATATACAAATATTGACATGTAAAGAATGATACGGGTGTATAATTCTGCAGAAATATGAATTCAAAGTATTTAAATTTTTCAAGAACCTTTTTAAAATCTTCCATAATGACTTCTTTCAATACAAGGTGGAAGCAATTTCAGTTAACAATAAAGCAGCACAAGGCAGTACCTTGAGCTGCGATGATCCATAACCAATCGGCACCTGCAATTTGATTGATCTTCGAGATGTACCCTACCTCTGTTCCCTGACTTTCCCTTTTCGTTGTACCGGGTGAAGTGAATATTCTGTGAATATTCTTCTGACAGTCAGTTTTAAGTCCTACATTATGTTGTCAATCAGATTTAATTGGTTCAAAAACCGTCGTAGTCCGTCTCATTCGCAGTCTACATCTCCACATGAGCACCCATACATGCTCAAAATTTTCACTACGTATGTACTATGTACCCTGCAGCGTATCCTGATGAAAAATGTTTTGTTGAAATCAGAGACACTTCCCAAGGTAGGCCATAGTCCATGGCCATATATTTAAGTCAAAACAGATGAAACAGATAAACACAATTCCAATCATCAAGTCAACCAGCATCGACAATCTGCACATAAGTTCTAAACCTATTGCAAGACTAATTTGCATTCAAACTTTGTATTGCAGAAGGGTGGAAGCTGCATGGAATTATGCGACAATTTCAGCGTGCATCCACGCTCGAAAGAGCAGGGTTAATTGTAACAATGTCAATACCATAACAATAACGTAATTGTAGGTGTTGTGATTCGGTTGTCTCTTGTCTGTGCTGGCCATTGCGCGGGCGGTCCAGCGGCGGAACTCGGCTTCGCCGCCGTGGCGCGCTGGCAGTTGCTTCTTCTTCTTCTTCTGCATCCCACCGCCAACCCGCTCAGGGGGGCGGCGGCGCAGGCAGGTCGAGCGGCGGCTCGGTCCGCCCAACATCCTCGATGAAGGTGACGACCTTCGTCGCCGGGCCGCCGAGGACGTCGACCAGGCGAGGGTCGACACCCCAGCGGCGGCGGCGGGCCACCTCATAGGCCGGACAATCGGTCAGTAGGTGCGCCGCGCTGTCGGGCTCCCCGCACGCGGGGCATTCGTCGTCGGCTTCCGGGCCAATCTTGTGGAGCGTGTCACGGGTCAGCGGTGATGTGCCGGTCCTCAGCTGGGACAGCGTCACTGACCCCAGCGCGCCAGGGAGTCGTGGCCAGGCGTGGGGTCCGGGTGTGGGTGGGCAGCGGTTGCCCTCTGTCGCGACAGCTCCCGGACATGGCGCGTGACGGCGGCCCGCGCACTCGACAGGTCGATCGGTGCGCTGTCTTGGTCGCCCGCCGTGGCCTCGCCAGCCAGGCGGTCGGCGGTTTCGTTGCCGTCCAGCCCGGCATGGCCTGGCACCCACTGGAGCACCGTCTCGGTGCCGTTCTCGGCGATGATGCTCAGCACTCAGCAGCCTCCACACCTCGGCAGCCAGGGCCATGGTATGGTTAGCTGGGCCGCGGCCGAGTAGTTGGAGCCCAGACCTTGAGTCGGTGAGGAGGCGGACCGACTTGGTCGACGCCAACTCCCCGTCCTCCAGGCCGGCCACAGCCGCGAACGCCTCGCGCATGGCGGTCAGTTCTGCTCTTAGGCTGGAGCAGACCGCCCCTGCAGGAGCGCGCACAGTCTCTTCTCTGTTGAGGTGGTGGAACTGGATCAGAGCCTGCGCCGCCCTGTTCCGTCCGCCGCGAGCCGAGCCGTCCGACCAGATAGTGACGTCCGGGTGCGGGAGCTCTGCAATGGCTTGCAGGGCAGCTTCCCTGCAGACTGCAGGCGGGTCCGACCGGCGGGTGGCCACGGGCAGGTCCACCCTGAAGGTGATGCCGCCGCGGTGGCCCAGCCATGGCGGGTCGCAGCTGTAGAGCGCCGAAACCTGTAACACAATAAAATTGCAATTGTAACAAAGACCTGCATGGTCAGCACACATCTGCAGTGACTGTCATCCCAAGTTGGTATGAATTGGCACAAAGTTGGGTCATGGTAGCAGACGTAGCACAAGCTGTTGTGATATGCCATACCGCAGGACTAGGTCGTAGGTTGTAAATTTTAGGTTTAAGGCTGTAGTTTGTAGGTCAGGTTAGGTAAGGTTTGGTTAGAAAGACCCATTCTCATGCATCGGGCAGCTTGTGCTACATCTACCTTACCAATACCCAATTTAAATTCCCAAAATTGATGGCAAACAGGCTTTTTGTATAACAAGTGTGGTTAATTGTTCTAATCCCCGCTGCAATATGAGGGTAACTGCTTTTCTACAATCACAATATTTGAATTCATATATGTAGGTGTTCACATGTTCAGAAAATGATACAAAATATGACACAATTATAGCTGCAACTCAGTTGGTGACATACCAGGGAAATAAGCTAAAATTAGAGCACTCTATTTATTGCTCCTGCCCCATGTTGAAGAGATACCCCTAAAAGCGTGATCTTTTATCGGCCCTTACGCAGCAAGGCAGTAATTCTCAGACCGGTGGATGGTATCAATAGAAAGAGAATGCATCAAGGATTAACATGAATTAATTAAAATAACATTAAAATGTTGATTAAGCGTGGAAATTAGTCCCAAACATAAGCTAATTATTGCTCCTACCTCGGCGACGGCGCTCCCCGCAGTCGGCGGAGAAGCTAAAATAAAAGCCACCATCCTCCTCCGTAAGTCAATTTTAGAGCGGCCGAGTGGGCCGATGCGGCGGCCACCAAACTGAGGTGAGACGTGGCTAGTAATTGCAAACCGCCATAGAAATCAATATCTTAAGACGTACAATATGGGATGATTACTCTGAAGCTGGAGTGAAAGCATGAGTAGATTGCAAGAAACGAAATGCATAGATTGGTTGAATTATGTACAATAGGCACAGCTCAGATGAAGCCATCTCTATGATGTTGACATATGACATAACCCTTCCTCTCCTCACCTATGACCTAAGTGCATTGGCAGTTACCGGCATAGTTTTTGAGCACGAGTGCAATTCGCCATCGGACCGCAATACATGTTGCTAGGCTGCTGCAATTACAACGAACATACGAATACTGCCTTCATTTGTAGACGTTTGTTTTTTAGGCGGTCTTTGACGTGCAAGGGGGCATACCTGTCGACAACTTGAGTTTCTCCGAATTTCAAAAACTCCCAGAATTTCAATTCCTTATGCACTGTTCATGTTGTAGGTACAGCTATGTTCACAAGTTTTCGTTTCCTCCTGTTCTAAAAAGGATGATATTTGTCGATTTCGTGCGTCGCTGATAGGAGGGTGCGTTTAATAATTAGGCCCAACGCTTTCTGCATCCGCGAGTACCTTCAAAAGGGAACAACAGTTTCCATTTATTACACTATGGGACATGTGACAAAATGACCACTGGAACACGCATGAAACGGAGCTCATATTCCTAAAAATGTCTACCATCACTTCTTTTCTGACGCTATTAGCAAATACCATCTCAAGTTAGGTGGTTGACAGACAGTCAATGGAGATCTGGGGAGACTGAGTGATGCCAATTCACCACTTAACTGATAATGAGGGCCGAGGGAAGAGAAACATGCAACATGCACAACTGACAACTTGACAAGTGACAAAACACTACCACTATTGCACAGTGCACAACCAAATTACAGCAGCCAGCCCAAAAAATGCTTTTGGTGGCTAATTGCAAAACAAGTCACTAATAAATGTCTTAGTTGCAGCTGAACACTGCACAATAATCACACTGTTCACACATTGAGTGAGATGCCACAGGTGGTTTGAATCACACTTTGGTTCAACTGCAAATCTGAAGTGTTGCCATGAGGTTCATGCCTCCATGATCACAGCACTTTGGTTGTGGTTGACATAACACTTGTAGTCTGCAGAGTTCCACATGAACTGCAGACACCTCATCTGGTGGTCTTCATGTTGCTCAACTTCTTCAGGAGGCAAATGTCGACCACCCAGCGGAAGCATGGTCCTGCAGAAAAGAAAGGTAGTGCATAAGGTACAAACATTATCTGCTGAAACAGCTCCTTCTGTTGGCTGTTATTAAACTTTTAACATAGGTAACATAACAACATGTATTCTATGTATATTACATTTGTTGAAGTAAAATACTGCCGGCTATTTCAAAACCAGAAAATGAAATTATATTGTGGCATAATTCACCTGCTCAGCTACCAGTATCAAATAATAATTAATTTAATATTTGGCATATTCTATATAACACATTCATAGAATATTCTACTTCACGTCACAAGGACTCACAATCTTTCTGTTGGGTGTTTGATTGACGCATTAACTAAGTTTGTCTTAGGTTTTATTATTGCAAAAAAATCATATTGCATTATTGTATCACTATCAAAATACTGCCTG